CCGCCGCCGCTCGTCTTCGACTGCCCCCCTATTAACGTTCATTTAATATATATTAATAATAATATTTATTTAATATATATTAATAATAATATATATTAAATATATTATTACATGTTTTCAAAAATTAAATCACCAAACGCAGTTTCAATTTTTTTTTAAACTTAAATCAATCTCTGAATAAAACTACTAAACGCATTTTCAGAAATGATTCCAAAATAAAAATAAAAACGTTTTTGTTTTCATTTTCATACAAAAAATAAAAATATTTTGTAACCAATTCCAAACGCACTCTTTATTTCTTGCTCTGAATTGCAAGGGTTTGTGGGTTTCTTGCCCCTCTCCGACTCTCTTCGGCAGAGCAGTTGTCCCCCCGGCTTATGGGTTTCCTCTGTCATTTGGGTTTTTTTGGCGGGTTTAAAGAGAGAGAGAGAGAGAAAGGGAAAGTAGGGATTTTTTTAGAGGGGGGAGAGAGAGAGAGTGGTGGATTTGTTGTTTTCTTTTTCAGGTTGTGTGACAGAGAGTGAAGGTTTAAAAAGAGGAAAATAGAGAGCCGTTATTTGTAGTTGATGTCGTGAATGGAGAAAACTTGCCAGCTAGTGCACCACTTTGGTGTTGTACCCACCCCACTTCTGTTTCTAGCTAAAACCTCTCCTCTCCTTATGCTTTATTATTAGTATTATTATTCATTTTTTTGTTTTTTTCGATGTTTTTTTTTTTGGCTGAAAACTTGAAATTATAGCTTACTACTATTTTGAGCATATAAAATTTAAATATAAATATTTAAAAAAAGAAAAAAAATAAAGTTCCGAAATAAAAAAGGGGTAAAAAAGTATTAAAATAAAGAAATAAATAAGTTTTAGGTAGAAGAGACTAAAATGGAAAAATAAAGTTCAAGGGTAAAAAATTTAAAAAGGGGGTCAAAAATAACCAAAATAAATAAATATAGGACAAAAGAAAGCAAATCGGAAAAGAAATAAATGACCCGTTTAGTTCACTGATTCGAGTTTTTAATTCGAATTTAGACATGACTTTATGTGAGAGCTTCTAACTGTAACAAAAAAGTTAAATGTGACTGTTTCTGATAGCTTTTTACTGTAGTAAAACTCGAATTCTAAATTCGAATCGGTTAAATTAATGGGGCAAAAGATTCTGTGAGAAAAATGAAAAAAAATTAAAGTTTCAGGGGAAAATAAAAAGGTAAAAAAGGACCACCGGAACAAATAAGTTTTAGGGTACCACCGAAAAGGAATATCTACTGTAGAGTAATCTAAATGTTAAGTTTTAATTATCGCGTTATTAAACATATAAATTTTGAATATAAAATCTCAAAAAGGAAAAATTGAAAAAAAAAAGTTTCAGAACAAAAAAAGGGTAAAAAAATAACTAAAATGAAGAAATTAATAAGTTTTAGGTTAAAAAAGGACCAAAATATAAAAATAAAGTTTCAGGGTAAAAATTTTAAAAATGGGTAAAAAATAAACAAAATAAAGAAATATAGGACAAATGAAACCAAAATGAAAAAGAAATAAAGTTTACATGAAAAAAACAAAAAAAAATAAAATTTTAGGGAAAAATAGAAAAGATAAAAAAGATCACCAGAATAAATAAATTTTAGGGTACCACGAGAAATAAATACCTAAGTAAGCAAAATATAATTTTTTTTTGGAAAAAAGCAGAAGGAGAAGATGAGCTGAAAGGATAAAAAACCATAGAGTAAAAAGAAAAAGAAAAAATTGTTCATTATTGTTCACATTTCCACCAAATCACCGTCATTTTGGTAAAAAAAACGTGCAAATAGTGAAGCGTGATTGCGTTTTCTATTATATAGATTATTCTCTTTCCATTTAAAATTCTCCCATAATTTCTTAATGTGTTGTTTGTTTCAACAATTCAAACCACAAAGTTCAATTCAAACCATAGCTCATGATTTAAATTGATTGGTAAAAAATTAGATGAGGATAATTCAAACCATTAATAATAATTTAAATTCTTGATTTTAGAATTGACATGGTCCTAAATTCATACGATTCGAATTGTTTTTAACCGTCAAAAATTCATATTTTACTTTTTATCTCTCATCAACTTCAAGCTTAAAATTATCATAATTTTTTCATTTTAATTTCAATTGAGATGATTTTTTTTCAACGTGTTCATAATAAAGAGAGAAATAAATTCTTATTCATATTGTATTTTTTTAATTTTTTTTTTTCATCATGCACTTCAATAAAATGTGGACATAATTTTTAACTCTCTCACAGCTAAAGGACATTGAATTTTAATTATATGAAAGAACTTACTTCCAGTGTTGTACATGGAATTACCTCGTTTGGTCACTCATTTCACATAAAATATACACATTTCACAACAAATTCTACATTGTCTATTGTCTTTGATGTTAGATATCTCCTTTAATACATTTCTTATTTTAATAAACAAGGTATATATATATATATATATTATGTTAAGACCACTCCACCAAATAAAATATAACCTCTCCAACTGCAGCCAACCTAAAGCAAACAATCACTTTCAACATTAGCATGACACCTGACTGAAATTTTGAGGGTGCGCTCATTTACCTAACTAAAGTCATGACTTGAGTTATTAAATTTTGTATATGTGAAAAAAATATTATAATAAAAAATTAAATTTAAATTTATATGAAAGAAAATATTATAAATATATGATTTGAGTCATTATTTAAAGTATAGAAATGAACACCCATTTAATCTCATAGAACTTTAATAGGCTATTTACAGCCTCGTTCACTTTATTGATTCAAATTTTTAATTCGAGTTGAGATATGACTTTATATAATAAATTTTAATTGTAATAAAAAAGTTAGATGTAACTTTTTATAAAAAATTTAACTGTAACAAAATAATAATTAAAAACTCAAATCGATAAAATAAACAGAATCTATAGCCTCGTTTACTTTTGTGGATTCGAGTTGAGATGTGATATTTTTTAAGAATTTTTTACTATAATAAAAAAAATTAAATGTGATATTTTTTTTAAAGTTTTTATTATAAAAATCTAAAATTAAAAAATTTAAATCGATAAGATGATTGACTCGTGTATATACAGGTACAACACTGGAGATCTTACCAATAGTATTAATCCTAACTACAATTTTATTGTTATTTTAAAAAAGAGCAGCTATTGGGTCCCACTAGAAAATTCCATTTTTGTCTGTCCTTTTTTTTTCAAATATAAGTTTCGAAACGCATTGTGTTCATGCCAAAAGAGTGTCGGGGGAAGTACGTGTGCCTTCAAAACCCCCTCTTAGGGTTTTGGAGAAACACCAGCGAAGCTAAACCTTGTGGTTATCAATGGAGGAAACGCAAATTGAAACCGTGAAAACCTCCGATAAGCTAGTATTTTTCCCTCCTCACCGTCGGAGACACCTCAAGAGCGAAACTTATCGAACTTTGGTTCGGATTTTCTCCCAATTCTGCGACGAATCGCCTTCTTCTCTCGCAACTCATAATGTCGATCACGAGCTAAATACAGGTAGACAATTTATATTTCAAGTTAATCAAAAGTCGCGGTTTTGAATTCTAGTTGGGTTTGATCATGAATCGTTTCTATTGTCTTTCATTTGCAGATTCTTATATGATTTTGCTTTTCAAAAGAAGTTGGAATTTTTTTCTCTAATTTTGATTTTTTTTTTGTTTTTCTTGTTTTTGACGATTGATTTGTTTCTATGTGAAGAAAATGGTGGCGATGAATTTGGGCAAACAACCGAAAAACAAGCGTCACAGCAAGTTGAATTGGTTAGAAATGATAGCATGGAGGCAAAGAGTTTGGTGTTTGAGAAAGAATGTGAAGTTACTTTGAGTGGTGATAATAATGGTTCCCAAGATAGAAGGCTGAATGAACAAATGACAATCAATCAGATTGAGCAGTTGATGAGATTAGACGAAAATGATGGTTTGTCAAATCAAAAGGCTGAGATTGGATTCCAAAACCCGGGGATTGGTCCTGAACAGATGCTAATAGATGAGTTAGAGCATATTGTGAAAGGAAAACGAGCTATTGTTCTTGAAAATAATTTGAAGCCCCCACAAATTCCATTGGTTGAAAATCGTAGTGACATAAATGAAGATGAGTTATTGTATCACAAAGAAGAACATGTGGACTTGCGACAAAGCGGTATAAAAAGATCTGTAAGTGCCTGTCAAACACTTTCGTCTTCGGATGATGATATCAGGATTGGAGGAAGTGCCAGTCCTAGAGAGAAAGGTGAGAACATACATTCTTTGTTGAATAATGAAGTTATGCTACTGAATAACTCTTCTATCGCCTTTAATGAATCTGGTGAGGTTGAAAAAGCGAAAAACCATGCTCAAAAGGGTTGTGAAGACTCTAATTTATTGTTAGACAAAAATACAGTTGCTGACACTTTGGACGCCTCCAATAATAATGACGGTCAGGGATCACCGAAAGCTGATGCTTTGAAGGTAGATCATGAAATGCCAGTAAAGGATAAGGAATTAGAGAACCCAGTTTGTGGTGGTGACACGGTGGGTTCTGCTGGTCATATGACAGAAGATGTAGATATGGAAGAGGGAGAAATTTCTGGTTATTACAGCATGGATGACATTTCAATGGACACGCTACTGCAAGATGCTGAGGTGTTGGAGGGTAAGAGGGAAAGTGAAGAGCCTCTGAATAGGTGCTTAAAAGATAAAAGAGAGTTCTTGGGTGATGAACCAAATGAAGCAGATTCTGGGTCCACTTTTTTTGCTTTTGACAAAGTTGATAAAAACAATAATGGTGCAGTGGGACTCAGGGAAATCGATTTTAGTAAAACAATTTGTGCAACTGATATTGTTGTTCACAAAGAGACTTTAGGAGCTGGGAAACTGGATGTAAACGATTCTGTGCCACCGGCTCAAAAAATTGAAAAGAAAGGCACAGAGGGAATTAATAATGTAGTATTGTGCGGACGAATCTTAGAAGACGATGCGACAAGGCATTATAAAGTATCTACCCAAAAGGTATGATCTTTTCATTTGCAGTTTTAACTTTATTTTTGTGAAACATTTTGTGTTTCCTTTTGTGATGTCAATAAACAGTATTTCTGGTAAATGATACCTTCAGAAATACTCATCAGTATAGCCGTTCGTATTTCCCGTTGTCTTTGCACAGAGTTGTTTCTTTAGAGTCTATAAGATTGTTCCTCAAGTATTTAGGTATAAGAGCAAACTTGATGATTTATTATGAGTTGTAGGTATTTGATATTCATTTGCACAAATTTTATGCATCATTCTGGTAACGATAGTAGAGTTATTCAATTTTAAAGTTCCTATGGATCAACTGTCATAGATTGTGTATAACAGTAACTGTTTTTGTTAACTCATCTGGAAAAAACAAAAAAAAGAAAAAAAAAGTTGTCTCTCTCTTTGTACCTCTGCGCGTGCGCGTGTGTGCACGTGCTCATGTATATATCCATCTATATCATGCATAGGCACACTTTTATTCCTCTATCTCACCCACAAACATGACTTTTTAACTAGATGCTGAAAATCTTGAAATATGGTTGTCTGGATTTATTTCTACAAAGAATTTAGTGATGCTTTTGGTCTGTATATAACTGGTCTGTTTTATCATTGATCATTGCAGGAAGACTCTAAAGTCCATCTCAAGAGAAAGAGGGGTCCTTCTACAAAGGAAAATAAAGCAAAGAAAAAAGTATTTTTATATCTCTTGTATTTTCTATGCTGAATTATATCCCTACATGTCTATGTATAATTGTTTATATAGCTTTTTTATTGTGTCTTTAACAATTCTTTTAAAGAACTTTTAATGAAATCTGAATGATAATCATATGCACTTATCTAAAAGTTGATTGAATTGTTTATACTTATGTGGCTAGAAGTTCATAGTCTTCTATAATTTATATATATATATATATATATTTTGAGTGAATAAATTGATGTATTTATGAAACATCATTTTGCAGGCAAAGGAGCGAAAGAAACGAGCGGAAAAGAATAGACAACTTGGTGTTAAAAGGTTGAAACTGCCTTTAATATCAAAACCGAAAACTGTTTCATATTGCCGTCACTACCTAAATGGAAGGTGCCAAGAGGTTGTACATTGTTCTCAAAAATATAAATGGTTTAATATTGTTGACTATAATATTTTTGAATGCTTTAAAGTTTCACTTTGTGCTTATCCTACAGGAGAGGAAGACTAATATGCTTATTGTGAAACTTACTTTCTTATAGTGGTTGCATATGTTCGCCATAATTATGGTTGTCAAAGGATCATTTATTATTCACTGAGTGGGGATAATTCTTTTGAAAATTGTAATAGCTTTTGTAACTTGGAGGAGTTAATTATTCTTATATGTCTTACATTAGCTGTTCATTTATTTTAAATTCTGCTACCTTTATATTTCCTGTGTTTATTTGTGCACTTTTTTCTGTATGGAACCTTCAAGATGTCTTACTAGCGTCCAAGATGAGACTATTATAGAGCACGCCAATTTACATTTTTTACTATTTCTTTTCTTCATTAAAATATTTCAATATAGTTGGAGAAGAATTTTTCTTTAATTGCATTTCCTCCAGTTATCTAAGTTCCTCTATTTTCTCATTTAGCAATCTCTTTATGTGATCGCGTTTTCTTTTTGTTTCACAGGGTGACAACTGCAAATTTTCTCATGATATCGTACCTTTGACCAAGTCCAAGGTGTGTCATTAGACTTTCTTGTTTTTACGCTCTCTTGTCATGTCATTTGTTTTCTATAAATTAATTAGGTTCAGAATCTGTAATTAGCGTTATTTATTTAAGATTTATTTTGCTTGTTAATCGGTTATTGCTATCGCTAATTACATTGGGCTTTAGCTTTACATCATCAGCAAAGCCTACTTGTATTGCTTTTAATACTTCTAAGAAAAACATGAATTCCTGCCCTTTTTTCTAGCTCAATGTTACCTTAAATACATTTGGCTGTAGCTCTGAATGACTGAATGTCACTCTGTAAGTCTCACTGTTTCCTTTTTCATGAATTTTGGTGTTGCAGCCTTGCTGTTATTTTGCACGCCAACAATGCATGAAAGGGGATGACTGTCCATTTGATCATGAACTCTCTAAGTATCCCTGTAGCAACTTTGTGTCTAAAGGTTTCTGCAGTAGAGGTGATGATTGCATGTTTTCGCACAAGGTAGATTCTCACCGATGTAAGATGATTCTTTTAACCCTTTTTCACTGATTGATTTCGCTAATTATGTTATCTCTTTCCTTTTCAGATAGTAGCTAAGGATGGTTCCATCACTGTTTCAAAGGCTATGGAAACTGAAATGAAACTAGCATCCTCGATGGATAACTCAATGTCTAAGAAGCAACAGAAAAATGACGGTGCATTCCACCATACTTCCAGTTTGTTATCCTACTCCAAACAGATGTGTTCTCAGAAGAATCCTGAAAAGAATGTAAAAGAGACTGTTTCAAAACAATCTGAAATGGTAGCTAAAGGAACCAGTTTTCTTTCTATTGTTGCGAATGCACCATTGGGTGATTCCAATAAGCTCAAACAACAAATATTGTCTCCAAATAATGAGAATCGTAGTGAGCAAAGTGGGTCAAGTGTGGTTCAGAACTCAAATGAGATTTTAAGCAAAACTCCACCAGTAGTAGCACCAAAAGGGATAAATTTTCTCGCTTTTGGAGTTCAACGGGATGATTTGAGTTGTAGAAAATCAGGTAGCGTGTCGTCAAGTGGGGATTCAGGTGCGGTTCAGAATTCAAATGAGATCTTAAACAGAACTCCACCAGTAGTAGCACCAAAAGGAATAAATTTTCTCGCATTTGGAGTTCAACGGGATGATTTGAGTAGTAGAAAATTAGGTAGCACGTCATCAAGTCAGGATAATGGTGTGAAACTGTCACCTTTGGAAAATTCTAATACGCATAATCAAAATAGTTCAGCTTCATACTCAAATCTGATGCTAAAGGGGATTCAGCCTGCAGCGGTGCCAAAAGGAATAAGCTTTTTGTCTTTTGGAAAGGGTTCAACAGATGATTCTTGCAATAAAGGAAAGGCTGTGTTGGCATCCAGTTTGGATAATGGTACTGATATTTGTGTTAAAGGGAAAGAAAAAGCTTTAGATGAACCAAAACTTTCAATTACAACCTCATCGGATCTTGCATCTTCCATAATTTCTCAAGTTCAATCTTCAAGCAGTTCAGCATCCAGGATCTTTAAAGACACTCCACATTCAGCTCAGATGGCACTCTTGTCAACGCTTGCATTTGCTGCCAAGTGTGAATCTCGAACGAAATTAAATCAGTCAAATCGCGATCCATCAGTTGCTACCGAGACTGATAAGGACACAAGGCATAAAGGCGTAATCGGATGTTCACAGGATGATTTGGCAAAAGCCTCGAAAATTTTGGAGTTCTTGTCTAGTATTGGTAGTAAGAGTAAGCAGTAATGCATGTTGCTTGATCCTCAACAGTGAATTGAATTCTAGACGGTGACGACAAAAAGCTGATGTGGCCTATCCAAGTTTGTTGCTCTGTTCAGTTTTGGAGCACAGCAGTAGGAATATGGAATTCATTGTTCTCGCCCTCGTTTGGCACAAAAAGCGGTTTTTTCTACTATTTTCCTTCACTACCGTCACTCAGGTACTGTTTGCTTCCCTAAAATTCAAGCTTTATTTTGTACTCTCTATATTTTATGATTTTTTAGTGTTCAGATGCTTGTGTTTAAGATGGAAAAAAGCTAAAGCTTGAGTCGAGTCTTGGTAGTCTTCTGATTTCCCGTTGCATCTTAGTAGCTTTTGTGCTATGTTCTTGCTAACCTAACATCATCTTGCAATTAAGGGGAAATAAGATGTTCAATCACTGTCGATGTTTTCTGTATGGAAACCAACCACCATTTGTCAATTTTGCAAAATGTGACACAATTGCTATTACCTACCAAACTATCATTGATTGTTATACAGCGGTTCTGTAATTGTGACTGGTACTCTGCGTTTTCCTCTGCAGGTTAATTTTGAATTCTTTCTTCTGACTTAGATCCTTGGAAAGGATTGGTTCAACATTTTATCACCAAAATGTTCTCTCCCAGATCGGGGTAAAAAAGTTCAATACCAACCTTATTTAACTCGAAGGTAAATATTCAAATTGGTTTGCATTACGCTACTAGATCGGGCCTGCATGATTACTGCCCAGTATCGGAGTGAGTGTTCTGCTTTAATTTCGAAGTTTCTTTGCAACCTACCAAAAAAATAAAAATAAAAATAAAAATAAAAAACCAACTTTATTTAGAAGAATTCTATGTTAGGGTATGAAAACATACCATACCGGTACGACATAGTTCTGAATAGTCGGATAACATCATGACAATATCTATCACATCATATGACAATTCAAGAAAAATATGATAGTTCTAAATCATAAGATCACATTAGAATCATATCGGGTTAAGAAAAATATAATAATTTGACGTAATGTGATGAAACTCTTAGCTTGTTAGAGTTGTGCCCTCTGGTAATTATTTTTTCATTACCCTACCACAGAATTCTCCTCCTTTTAATTTGACAGTATCTTAGGATCTGTGCTTGATTGGAAACTCTCCTCCCTTTGCAGTAAATACAGACACTTATCAAGTTTTTGGATCACGCGTTACCTTTCACAACAACTCTTTACCTTGAAAGCCATCAAGGTACACAGGATAGATCATTTCTGCTAAAAGCCTCAGACAACTAGTGTCCGTGCATTAACTTTTCGAGGGTGTCTTCATTTCAATGCATTCTCTCTTTATAAGCCATTTAGCGTTGGATCTAGTAAAATTTAGGAAAAGGTCTTATATGTTCTTGTCCTTAAAGATCTTTGGCAAAACTATATATGACTTCTATAAGTATGGTCTGTAGTACTCCATTCAATTATATATATATACATTTATACATGCATACGTACGTACATACATACATATATGTATATATATATATCTATGAGTGCGAGTACATTTTGTGTAAAGTGGTGCCTTTTGCTTCCAATGTGAAAGAAGAAAAACATTAAATTGAGTTTGTCGTCTGGTACTCTGGTTATTGTGGGACAATGGTGTTTTGTACCAGGCAATTGAAGAAGGGCTCACAAGAGGCCCTCCTTTGTTCCTGATGTATATGTGGGACTGACCTATTATACTATCTTTAAACTGTTGTTCTCATGAAAGAGAATGATATGTTCATACATTAAAAATATTTTTTAAATCTCTGATTTTTCACCTATAGTTGATTTTTTATTGCATAGCCTTATCTCAATACATTTCAAAATAAATAAATAAAAAAAGAGAGAAAAATCAATTCAAATCTTCCTTTTCTTCTTTCCTAACGAAATTTTTATCTTTTTTAGTCAAACATAATAATGCCATGGCATCTGCATTTTCTTTTTAAATTTCTCTCTTTTTTTTTTTTTTCTCTTCCTTTTTGCCAAAACTTAAAAAAGTAATTTGGAGGGATTCCATTTGAATTAAGCTCAGCTTTATTGACTCCCAATCAAATGCACCAATTCTAGATTGTCCAAATAATGCCATCGCATGAAAGATTTCCCTTCATATATACGATTCAAAAATAGTTTTTTCGTGGCACGGTATCACCAAACATGGTTTGTAAATTAACATCAGGGTGTTAAATTGCGTATGTTAGTCTTACCAAAAAAAAAAAAAAAAAAATTGCATATGTTATAATGTTAGTGTCAGTACCAGTGTGTCCACTGCTCAGAAACCCAACCTCCTTAATTCTCGCAGTAATCGTTGTTACCCAATCTATTTTTTATATCTCTTCATGGTTTGTGAATTAAGCTCAGTGTGTTAAATTGCATATGTTAGTCTTACCAAAAAAAAAAAGAAAAAGAAAAAGAAAAAGAATTGCATATGTTATAATGTTAGTGTCAGTACCAGTGTGTCCACTGCTTAGAAACCTAACCCCCTTAATTCTCGCAGTAATCGTTGTTACCCAATCTCTTTTATATCTCTTTACACTGTTACAGGTGGGCATGCCTAATTGGCCTTGGACCCACAATAGGAAACTCATGTGAGAAGGTACCAATCAACGTGAGTCATATGGTATAGGGAAACGATAAATCAGAAAATAACCTATAGTACTATTTGTATATTTATACCGTTTAAAATATGAGACATTTTTGATACGTTAACATATTGGCATGTTAAATTTTCTGTCCGTCGAATTTACATAAAATTACGTAAAAGTCAATAAATAAGCGGATTCAACGGTTAAAAAAACATGACCTACCGGTGCGTTTGGCGTATCAGAAAATCTCCCTTAAAATATAAGTTTATATCATTTAAAATTATTTTCTATTAATTCAATGTTTTTATTAGGCCACTTGGAATAATTTTGTGAACCCACCATACTTGTTAATATTGAATCATTTTCAAAACCTTTGCAACAAGCCAACAAATGAGGGAATTTCGACGGCTGGAGACTTTGTTTATAGTGTTGTCCAGAAATCCTCTTATCATGTAAACCAAACAATTGTGGAGAAATGCAATATGAAAAGGGTGTGATGGGAATGGAATGTATACATTCTAGACATTGGCAATTGGACTTTGTAGTGTTTTTTTTTTTTCTCTGTTCATGTTAATGGAGGAGTTCAGGACTCATGTGATGTGTAATCATAGGGACAACTTGAACGCAAATTATGATTACATGACAACATGATTAGACTAAAGTCAAAGATCAACCATGTTGCCTTGTTTGCTCCCTCTTTTGGATAATATTTGAAAGTTTTAAAATCTATATTCATGTAAAGGAGGAAAAAGAACATTTTTCTGGTTCGAATTTCATTACATTTTCTATTAGAGAAATATTTTGTTGAGGCAAAAGCTTGTTAGTCAAACGGCTATCCAACAATGCTATGAATAATTGAAGTGTATCATTTTAGTCTTAGCATCTTGAAGCTTAAACGTGGCTGCATGATTTCTAAATTGATTCTTTTCATTTATTTCATTTAGAATAATAAAAGCGATTGTAATAGTGAGACTATTCTCATCATAATTTGAATTGTGTTACATTAATAAAAAACACATATATATAATAATATTACAAAATTCGAAACATACTATGATCATGAATAAAAATACCGAAAATCGAAACATATGTCTATCGTTATTTTTCTTTAAAAAGCAGTCAAAAAAATGTGGTAAATCTGAAAAAAAAATTAATTGTAGCGTAGTTGTAGTGAATTTTGTACAAATAACTGTAAATATGTTTTTTAAAGACAATTTTATGTATATGTTTATGTGCACATACATGGTTTATATTTCCAATCATAACAAGATATTGTTATGTTCAAATAATGAGCTCAATATCTATTCTTACTATCACAACTTCAAGCGGCACGCAAATTGTTAACTAGATTCAAAATATTAATTTCAAACCTTGAAATCATTCTTAAAAAATAAGAGCATTCTAAACGTTGCACCACCCTCCAGTAGTTTAGTTTATTTTTTCTAATCCCTAATATGGTATAAAGTGGTATATAAGTAGTGATTGCACCTAATACTAATAGTAATATTTCATATTTTATAATGTTTTCATGGATTAATATTTTGAAAGTCAGTTCTCGTTTAAACCATTAGTATGAATTATTATTTTTCATTTTGACATAATTTTAGTCAAATCTAACGTGGAAACATATACTACTGGTTATTCCAACATAGAGAGCTTGAAAATATTTTATAGTGTTGAATTAAACCGTTTCCTTTTTCAAAAAAAAAAAATAATAATAATAAAAATAAATAAAAAAGGAAAACCATGGCTGCTACATGGCATTGTATTATTGGCGGTATAAATAATGATCCTCTAAGGTGGAGAGCACGTTAACACAAGTCTCTGTCCCTAGTTCCTAGTTCCTACGCTACTCTGCCACAGTGAAAAAGAAAATGACGTTAACAAGCTCGTCTTCATAACACCAAACCTCCTCAATTTTCATTCCATTCTAACTCGAATAACTCTCTCTCTCTCTCTCTCTACGATGACGACCTCTGTGAAAGCGAATTTCCTGCCTCCGAGCTTGATCTCCAACCTTCAGCAAGTCCTCGCCACCAGAAACGACGCTCCGGAGCAGCGATCGCACAATGCCGGCGCCAATTCCGTCAAAACGCAGTCGTCTCCGCTCTCGGAGAGCCAGAACGACGGCGATGGCGATAAGCCGGTGGTTCTCGTGACCAGCGCCGACGGAATCGACTCTCCCGGCCTCGCATTTCTCGTCGAAGCTCTCCGCCTCGATTCTCGCGTCCACGTCTGTGTTTGCGCTCCTCGAGCGTTGGTTCCTGAACTCCATCTCCTTCTGTTTGGACCGTTTGGTTATCGAGAAAAATTTTTGAATGCAGAAACTTCATTTATTTTTTCGCAGGGATAAATCGCTCTCCGGCCACTCCGTGACGGTTCTTGAGACAATCTCGGCGTGTTCTGCTGAAATCGGCGGCGCCGTTGCTTATGAAGTTTCTGGTGATGATTTTATTAAGATTTTATCTCTTAATTTGATCACCAAATTAGAATTATCACCGGATTATAAAATTAAAATTTTGATTTTTTTCCCTTGTTTCCAATCTTCATTATTTCTCAGGAACTGCTGTGGATTGCGTATCTCTAGCTTTATCAGGCGCATTGTTCTCTTGGTCGAAGCCTGCTCTGGTGTGGAAATTTTTTAATGATCATCTTTGGTTTTTTCTGAATTTTTCAAATTTTCATACTGTAATATGCTAATTAGTTTCTGAAATATATAATGTTCAGGTAATTAGTGGAATAAACAGAGGATCTAGTTCTGGACACAACATGTGAGTAATGAACTGTGTCCTAAACTATCAATTTTTTTTTTTTTTTTTTTGGGTTTGCTCATTATTATTATTAGGATCCATATCTCCTGTTTAGTTTTTACTGTCTTAATTAGTGTACGACCAATAAAATTATACTACATTATCTTATGATAAGCACAAAATAATTAAGGAAGAAAGAGAAAAATAGGTCAAAATTTAAGATGAATTAAAATTAATAGGTCAATAGTTTACATAAATTAATAAATAGGCTAACTTACTGTTTTTATCCATATTTTGTCTGGTTATGAACCAAAACTTGACAAGTTATTTACGGTTTTTATTCATAACTTGTCTGGCTATAAACCATAACTTGACAAATTTACTCATAACTTATCTGGTTATGAACCATAACTTGACAAGTTATGGTTTATTAATTTCTATAACTAAAAATTGGCCTATATATTTTCTTAAGATTTTTATATTAGCCTATTTTTTACTATTTTTTAATAATTAATTAAAAAACAGTTTAAATTTAACGTGGTATAATTTAATTGATATTTTATTAATTGAGACACTAAAAGAGGATCTTAGTTCTTATTATTATTTTTAATCATTCACCTAATTTAAGCTGTGGGCCACCACGTAGCTAGGATTTTTATCATTTGGTTGATATCTCGTTATATGCTTTAGATATTTACCAGAACAGTTTGAAATTCATGCAACTCTTTTGTTGAATAAAAAGTTTTCTTTTTCTTATTTGGAACGACATAATTTTCACTGTCGTTCGGTGAATTGGGGTGACTTTTTACTTTAAATTTTATTCATTTTTCTGAAAATTCTGAGCTAGGTACAGAGCCCGCTTGTGGAGCCAGCTATTTATTTGTTGTTGTGATGTCAAGCTCAACTCTTTCATTTTACTGTCGTTCCACCACTTTCACTGATGTTAATTTTCGAGCTTTTTTCACTATTTTTTTATTCTTTTGAGTGCTTTTTCTATTCTACTTTCTGGATTTCACGATAACGACAACCTTGTTACTATTCTCGTTTTCCTTCCTTGTGTAAAGCAACAGCTTTGTCAGAGTCATCCGCTGAAAGACTACTAAAATGAAAGAAATATCCTGTTGGTTCCCCGAAATTATTTTTCGATTGTCGTTTTATGAAACAGCGACCAACCACGGGATGTTGGACGCGGGTCACCAATGCCCAAGTCTTAAAAAGGGTGAAAAGAATGTGTGTTAAACTAGCCAAGAAATTTTTTTTTTTCCTATCGTAATTTACTATTTATCTGTTTGTTTATAACTCTTGACAAGTTTATCTTTCATATATCTTTGGCACATGGTCTTAATGCTAATGTGTTTTCCAACTATTATGATTTGATACAGGTTTCACTCAGGTGCAGTGGCTGCAGCTAGAGAGGCATTGATTTGTGGTGTACCAGCTCTGTGCATATCACTAAATGGGTGATTGAACCATTCATTCTAATTGGTCAACATTTTTATCTTTCTTTTTCGTCATTCTAAGAAGCATGAAACTCATTCCTTTGTTTTATCTCAGGAAAAAAGATGTAAGTTGTGAGAGTAAGATGAAGGAAGCAGTCGGTGTTTGTTTACCACTGATACATGCAACTGTTGAAAGTGTTCAGAAGGATGTTTTCCCCAAAAGTTGCCTACTTAATGTCGAGATTCCCAGTTGCCCCCTGGCAAACAAGGTCTGTTTTTCATAGTATGTTATATTTGATTGATAAAAAGGTAGTAAGAAATATTTTTTAAAAAGATTTACTTAACTTATTTTAAAGCCAAGCACTATATCTCATTGAGGTCTTCCATAGGTCATTTGAGATGGTCTATTTTGAAAGAGTTTGAATTGAATAAAGACATCCCTTGTTGTAGACTTGCAGTGATGTTTGTGCCAGCAGGCTGCAGCATGTGTAAATGAAACGCATTTAAGAATTTGATTGTTTAGGTTCGACGGTTGCGAGATTGCTCATAAATTTGTCAAACCTTGCCTTCAACAGGGCTTCAAACTAACCAGGCAGAGTCTGTGGAGGTCCTCTTTGAGATGGCAGGCTGTCTCAGCAAAACAACATCCTTCTGCTGGCCATTTCATGTCAAATCAACAAAGCCTTGGTATTATGCTGGCACAGCTGGGCCGTGACGCTTCTACAGCTGTGAGTAGATTCTATTTCATGTCAGAAGAGCAGTAATTTCTGCAGCTTTCTATAGTGGTTCGAAAAAACAATGATTTTAATTCTTAATTGAATTCCGTTGAGTTTTCAGGGTGCGGCAAGACGTTTGAACTCGCAACGGAAGAATGTGGAGATTGAATCTGTTGGGGTTGCTGGAAAGCCAAATTCTCAACAAACAGTCAAAAAGTATTTCCGATTAGAGGTAGATACCTGACTTAAAAAACTGACAGAAATTTGTTCTTATACGTGCTTTATCTCTTTACAACCAAAATCAGAAGATAAAGATGTTCCATGTTTCTGAAGTCAAGCATCACTTGTTTCAAATGCAGTTCTTGGATAAGGATATAGACAATGTGGATGAGGATTTAGATATTAGAGCACTTGAAGATGGATTTGTGAGTTGGATCTTCTATTTTCTATCACCACTTCCTTAACCCTTTGCTTTCCAATTCCTGATTTGATCTGCTCTTTTGACATTAACAGGTTTCAATTACTCCTCTATCATTATCACCAACTCTTGATTCCGAAGTTCAAACGTCAGTGTCTAACTGGATTGCTGATGCACTTACCATGAATCATTAAGCGTTATCTGCCTCTCTTCATATGATTTACGAATGTACATTATAATTTAACCTTTCATTTGTTTGTACCTATTGGAGTGGACAGTCTTGATCGCTTGCGGTTACTTTTGTTTGTAACATAGGCAAAGTCTGCAACTGTCCATTCTTCTCTCTGTAATTCTAGTTTTTAACTTTGGCTGTGGAATTGAGTCTCCTCTGTTGTGATGTTAGGAACTAGAGTAGAGAGCCCTTTGTTCTTGCATTTTGTTGGATATGAAGATTTTTGTGGCCTTTTATGTTTTTCATTCTTCATATTTTTCTCCCAATGCTTTCTTTCGCATCCTGTCTTCAGATGCTGCCCCATTATGGTTATCCGATGCCATCACTACCATCAGATTTTCACTTCCTATTTTGAGTGTTGTAAGAGTTGAGAAATGTCCATTTAGGCACCAGTACTAGCTGCACAATACGATTAGCTTGAACAACACATGTTTTGCTTTTGAGGATAATCGGAGAGCTGTTGAGAAAAGTGTGTTATCTCACATGTAAAGTGAATGAATATGTGAAATGGTTTAAATACATGGAAGGATTTAGGATTTAAGATTTAATATGTTAATATTTTGGGTCAAGTTAGACTCTTAAAGTGTGTTCGGTTAGTTTCACATGTGATGTCTTCTTAACAAGTGGTATTAGAGACGACAGTTCACCTTAATCCATGTTGTATTTTTTTCTATTGAATACTCATTTGATCTGCAAAAATGACGGAAGGCCCATCAACGTCGTTGTCTACATAGACGGAAAGCCCATCAACATAGAATGTAGTAGCCGATGAAGCGTTGGTAGCAGAGGCCGTCTGTAAAGCCAGAAGCAGGGAAAGCATGCAAGAAGAGGAAGACCTTGTTCGAAGGCCATACTTGAAAAAGATGAGTGCCTTTTGTCATAAGAAATGGTACTTGAAGAAAGACTTGACGAAGCTGAAGAAGAAAGGAAACACTGTTCCAGATGCATGTGTAGCCGAGTGTGATAGTGATGATGCAAAATCATCGCTGGTTACTTCATCTTCGGCATCCTAAAAACTGAGAGCTTCTCCCCTTTGTAAATTTGTAGGAAATTCTTTAGATTTTTAATTTGTGAGCTTTTGTAATTTATGCCCAATTTGTAATCTTTATTCTCTTTAGTAAATATATTGATCCACAGAGACATAGGCAATATTTGGCCGAATTTCGTTATCAATTTCGGTGTTCTTTTATTTATTTTCAATAATCAATAGTTATTATGTCGGGTTTATCCGATATGTATAACACTACTCATCTATACGGTATCATTTACATATACAGTACTATTCACAATTACTGTTCACGTTGAAGTTGTATTTAAGTGAGAAATACTCGATTTCCCTAACAAGAGCAAAATTCTCATCATCAATAATAATAACTAGAAAAAATGTGCGTGTTGTTTTTGAAGACGCTTCTATACGGACGTCAATTTTAAAGTAATTTTAAAAAAGGAACAAAAAAAAAATTAAAGAAACCGAAGAGTCTCGTAAAGACGTAAGAAAATTGCATAAATCTGGTTTCATCACTGGAAGGATCACAAACATCCTTAAAGGATATATGGTGTGTTTGAGATTGTTTTTGAAACTTTAAAAAGCACATTGCACAATAAACGATACAACTATAATATTTAATAAATGTGCATAAAAATACTTTGCACATAAATTAATGTATTTTTTAAATTATTTTAAAAAGTTATAAAGTGTAGTTTTTAAATTTTACTTTTACTTCTGTTTTTACTTTTAAGTAAAATGAGTGTTTTTATTAATTATTTTAAAAGCACAGTAATCCTAAACTGGCTCATAATTTACGAAGTTGATAGAAATTTGGATACAAGCAGACTTGATTAGTTTCTCCACTTACTATGCATTATTTGGTTTGGTTTTAAAGAAACAAGATGGTAAATGTCTGGAAGAATTCTAAGAAGCAATTAAGCAGGCGGCAGGGTTGTGGAATTGAGTTCTGCTCCTCTGCTTGTTGTAAACTGGAAAGTAGAGAGTCCTTTGATTCTTGTTTTTGTCGGCTTTTAAGATTTTTATAACATTTTATTTAATTATGTCATATATTCTTCATAGTTTTCCTCGCATATCATGGTTATCAAATGCTAAGCAAATAATCTGACAGCAAAATTATCAACACCATTGACAATAAGAGCAGAATAAACAGAAAAATGAATGGACTAGCAACAAAAAAAAAAAAAGAAAAAAAATGCTTCTTAATAAACAATAAATTCGTGCCCAACAGGCCAGAATAGATTTTGAAGGAAAAAAATAAATAAATAAAATCAAGGGCCACTACGAAATAATAATGACTTGTACAGTTTGTACAGGGCCTGCATGCCTCTAAATTTAGCCCCTTTTTTATTTAAAAAATATTATTTATTTCTTCGATTTAAATTTTTTTATCATAAAAAATTATTAAAAATAATTATATTTAATTTTTTTATTATAATAAAATTTTTTTACATAAAATTATATTTTAACTTAAATTAAAAATTAAAATTAATGAACTAAATTTGTCTTATTTTGAATGGATCTTTATTCCACTGAATGAGCTTCAACAAAGATAAGTAACAAAAGAAGCCATTAGTGTCGTAAAGAAACGTGTACAAATACACCAGGTCGTACGTCTTTTCAGTTCAACTCTTCAAGGCAAAGCTACGGCCACGCTTTCCGTGCACTTTTTGTCAACGACGAAAAGCCCAGGGCCCATTATATTTACCACCATATCCGTACATCAAAATTCAAAAGCCCAACTCACACATGATTACGTAACGTAAACGACCTCAATACGCAGCGTCGGTGGGATAATGCCACGTGTAAGAGAGCGGTGAAACTGAAGCCGATACAGATGGATTCATCTACACTGTCGTTTGGTGTCCTTGCAGCTGACGCTCCATGGCGGACTCAAATTCCATCTCCAATTGTTGATGTTTTAGATACCACTGATAACAGTTGTGTAACGCTCTTTCATTTATCATTTAAAGATCGATTTTAACTGTCATAACTTTATCTATCATTTAAGGATTAATTTTAACTGTCAGTTATGAGATTGAGATATTTTAATTCGAGTTTTTAATTCAAGTTGAGATATAATTTTATATGAAAGTTTTTTACTGTAATAAAAAAATTAGATATGACTGTTTCTGAGAGTTTTTTACTATAACAAAACTCGAATCAGTTAAATGAACGGAGCCTATATATATCATTCGCATACTAAGGGCCCGTTTAGTTCGCTGATTCGAGTTGAGATGTGACTTTATGTGAGAGCTTTTTACTGTAGCAAAAAAGTTAAATGTGACTGTTTCTGAGAGTTTTTTACTGTAGCAAAACTCGAATTTTAAACTCGAATCGGTGAAGTGAACGGGGCCTAAATATAGCTTGATTTAAGATGATTTTGAATTAGGATAATGCTAATTGATGAAAGCATAATTAGATTGAATCACGTCATTTAAAAATTTAAAATATTTTTTAATTAATTTTTATAGCTTTTAATATTTAAGTGTATTAAAAAACGTGACATAATATAATAGTTGGGTATTATTCGACATTAAAAACTAAACATGAGATCCGAATCCGTTTAATTACAATTATGTTTTAAAACACTAATTTTTTCTTTGTATCAGTTCAGGTAGCCTACAAATTTCTTATCCAGTGAATACATCTTATATGTTTGATTAAAATATAATTCCAAAATAATTTGAACCCTATATACGGCCAGTTTGGTAGTGCTATAGATTTTAGAAAAATTATTGTTAACTGTGCTGAAAAAAATAGTTGTTATAAAAAGCAGCTGAGTGTTGGGTAAACTGTAATTATACAAGTATTGATTATAGGGGTATTATAGGTATTATGAAAGTTTTATTGATTCTACTTTAAGGTGATTACTGCACAATCTAAAAACCAAAGTTACCTCTAGACTGCTTCTGATGTTGACTGTAAATTCTTTAAAAATTCTTTAAGATTCACTTTTTATGGTTTTTGTCAAACACAAATTTTAGCTGTAGATGGTTAGATAATTGATTTTGGTCTCCAAGAATCACTATCAAACATACCCATAACAAATGATGAAAATATCAATACTTATGAAAATATCGGTAATTAAATTTTATGGAAATATAGACAAAATTATAGATAACGGTGAAAATTGACATAAAATATTGAAATTCATACTAAAAAACTTTATTTTTAAATGAGACTTTTAAAAACTTAAAATAGTGAATAATAGATGAAACTCTCAACTAAAATAACAATTGTATAATAAATGTGCATAGTAAAACGTGATCATAATATAATAAATGATAAGCACACGTAACAAATTAAGTAAAACAACTTAAAGAATTTAATATAGATACCTTACTTCCATAGTTTCATAGAAGATGATAAATAGTCAATATCAAAGTGAGCTTCCTGGATATTTAAAGGTATTTTAAACACATTTTTAAATTAAATAATATTGATATCAAGACATGAAGTTTAAAGTGAAAAATGACATAGATTTCACATTATTGAAAAATAATTTAAAAAAATATAAAGAATTGCCTCTATTTTCTAAAAATACTACTAATATTTTTGTGAAATTTTTGTAAAATTTTTATAATATTTAATCATCTAACATCATATTTTTTACGAAATGAATATTTCGTGAAAATATTTATATTTATAGAAATTTTTATGGAAATTTCATAATATTCTTTGAAAAAAATATTACACCCTTAATTCTATTAATACTTTTAAAATCAAAAATTTTCGTAAAAATATCAGTAGAAACGTAGATTTTTCAATATTGCTTATCATAATACATAAGAAATAGATAAACATTACAACTCAAAGAAAAAAACATATTAATAAACACGGCATTAATAACAAAAATTGTTGGAGAAGATACATGGCGCGTTTAGAACTCGATTTAAAATAATTTTATTTTTTATATAAAAATAAAAATGAAAATATTTTTAATTTTAAACAGAAATTATTTTGAAAAATACGTTTGGTAATTTTATTAAGAAATTATTTTCAGTGTAAAAAAACTATTAATGTCTCTATTTCTCTCTCTGTTCGAGAAAGGAGAAAACAAAGATAAAAAATAAAAACGACTAAAAATTATTTTTTATTTCTCTTTCATTTTACACTAAACTATAAAATTATTTTTATTTTCATTTTATTTTTATTACGCTAAACGCTGTTTTAAAAATATTTTTATTTTTTTCTTAAAAAATGTGAAAAATAAAAATGAGATTAATTATAATCACGGTCAACAACATTTCGGGAAAATCCTACGTGGCAAATCCACCTAAGCGGTTTACCAAAGCTAGCAATTTAGGTCTTTCGGAGCGATGATGGGCCTAGCTACGTGACTACGTCCACTTGGCGCGCATGCAGTGACCCGACCGACAAAGGAAAAAGGCCCACCGGCCCACATGGTGACCGCTTGATCTTGAGCGTTGAATCGGCCCGAGAAGATCCAAAGCCAAAATAAGGGAAATGGGTTTATGTAGTGTGGCTATTTGGGAGAAATAACCGTTTTTATGTCCGAACTAAACTTTGGCGCCATGGGTACGGTCCTTTGTACCCGGAACAAAGCAAGTTCTCCGTTTCTTGGGAATCTCTTCCACTTGGCACTTATTATATGGGACTTCTTTTGTAAAAGAAAACTTTAATTAGGTGTAATTTAAAAATGAGACTTTCTCCAATAAATCGGGTCAGTTTCTCTTCTCTATTAGGTCGGGATTTATGACGGTTGAATCTGATTCAAGTCGTAAATGATTGAAAAAATGTAGAGAATAAGGCCCCGTTCATTTCACTAATTTGAGTTTAGAATTCGAGTTTTGCTATAGTAAAAAGTTCTCACAAACAATCACATCTAACTTTTTTGCTACAGTAAAAAGCTCTCACATAAAATCACATCTCAACTCGAATTAAAAACTCGAATCAACGAACTAAACGGACCCAAGTAATTTCTCTAGTTAAAATAAAAATTATTAATAATTTATTTTTTAAATTTTATCATAAAAATTGGTCAATATTCATTTTCATCGTTATGGAGTACAAATATCTTTATAAATTAAAAAAAATTACGGATGCGTTTAGAATTCACTTTAAAATAATTTTATTTTTTATATAAAATAGAAATAAAAACGTTTTTAATCTCATACAAAAATCATTTTAAAAAAATGTATTTAGTAGTTTTATCAAGATATTATTTTCAGTATAAAAAACTCATTAATGTCTCTCGCTGCTCTTGAGAGGAGAAAACGAAAACAAAAAATGAAAAACAATTAAAAATCGTTTTTCATTTCTCTTCTATTTTACACTAAATTAAAAAATAATTTTCATTTCCGTTTTTTATCTTTAATTATACTAAATGCCGTTTTAGAATCGTTTTTATTTTTTCTTTTTAAAAAATGTAAAAAATAAAAACAAAAATAAGAATGGTTCCAAACAAGGTATACAGGTTATGCACAGAAAGGATGAAAATGGACTAGCAACGCGCTGAAGAGGCTCCATTTTTTTTTTAAGACAACCCGAAATTTTATTCAATCAACGCGGCAAATATCTGTTGCTACCAAAGAAAGAGGCTCCAAATTTTAGGGTGAGAAACAATTATAGAAGTGTATTTTGTATTCAATCCACAAGAAAAAAAATAGTATTTTTTTAATTGTGTTTACTATAGTAAAAGTTAAAGATAATAATTTAGTGATTCCCATAAAATGTAAATCAAGAAAAAAGTAAGGATATATCTAGAAATCAATGATTATTTTGTTATGTATAGTAGTTGTTTATCTCAGTTAAAGTTATTATATTATATAAATCAGTTAAAATTATTGTTTATATCAGAATTTTATTTTACAAATAGTAACCGTAAATTGTGTTGAAAATTTTCCTATAAATATAACTATAAAACTCTTCATTTTGTACATATTTATAAAATTAATGAAATTCTCTTTCTAAAATTTTTTTTCTTAATTTTCATAACATATTTAATTATATAGAAAATATATGAGAATTATTTGCAATTGAATTATTTTTCATAATGTTATCCAAAGGTGTTTTCAGCTACATATGGAGCTTATTTACAGTAGAACATCCAGAGTTCCTAGATTGTGCCGCGTGGGTCAAAGCTACACTTGATGAAATGGTCAAGTGTAAAATACGACTTAAATCACTCTAAAACATTCATATTAAAAGATTCCTTTATAACATTAACTTTACCTTTTACACGACAAAGTAATTAACTAAATAAATTAAGCCCTACTTTATCCACATTGTTTTGTGAACCTCACCATATTGTGTGTGACTCACGTTCCCCTCACATGCAATCCCCTTCACCTACAATGGTTTTGGCATTTCTCCAAAATTCCATGTTTTTATTTTTTGATAAAATTGGAAAATCCAGTGATGAATAAGAAAAAAAAAAAAAAAAAAAAAAAAAAAGTGGGGTTGATTCGTATGTACCCAAGGAGTCGGGGGGACGTGAAATTAAGAAGACGACAAAATCCTGAGGGTCCAGGAGATTGACACAAATGGCAACAACATAATAAATAAATAAATAAATAAAAACTTGCTTGGAATTCAGAGAAACGTGGCTGGTCACCTTCTTTGCCTTAAATGGACACACACGTATACTCTCTCTTTCCTCAACAGATGGCCCACGAACCATTCCTGTAACCATTAATATCATATATTATTTTAAATTATGATTCATAATTTTTTATAATACTTTTTTTTATAAAAAATTTAAAATTTAAAAATTATTATTATAAGTTATAATTCTAAATAGATAAACAAATTCAATATATGTATACATATATACATATATACACATATATAATATATGTATACATTTATATATTGAACAAAACAAAGTGAAAGAAAAGAAAAAAAGTCTTCTGCTTCCCACAGTCCCATTTTCTCTGATTTCCGTATACATTTCACAAGTCCTCACTTATAACCAAATGCCAAACCATTTTTTCAATTTTCTTTTTTAATGTGAAACTCTAAACCCCATAATTTTCGAGCGAAAAAAAATTTTTTGCGGAAGAAGAAAAAAAAATGGTGGCGGTGGCAGACGGTTGTGGCGGCGGAGGTTTCTCGCCATTTCCGAACACACAGTTCCCCAGAATCTCGACCGAAACCGAAGAAAACGACGCCGTCGAAGCGGAGAAAGAAGAGCTTGTTCTTCTTCCCGTCAAGGAAGAGAAAACCGCCGCGTCTTTCGACGGCGGCTCGTCGTCGTCGTCTTCTCCGACGGCAGGGCTTCCTCGGAGTCCGAGCCCTCCGCCTCCTCCGGCGAGCGTGGACGAAGAGGCGGCGACGAGAGTGGTGAAGATAAAGGAAGAGAGTGTGGAGCTTTTCGAGGAAGTTGAGGAAGATTTCGTTAATGGAGGTTGTGGGTGTTCGTCGACTTCGTCGCCGGCGGTGTCTCCGAGGCCGATGGAGGGACTGCACGAGGCGGGCCCACCGCCGTTCCTGAACAAGACGTTCCAAATGGTGGACGACCCTGAGACCGACTCCGTAGTGTCTTGGAGTGAAGGCCGTGATAGTTTTGTGGTTTGGGATTCTCATGAGTTTTCCAAGAATCATCTTTCTAAGTATTTCAAGCACAGTAATTTCTCAAGCTTCATTCGCCAGCTTAACACTTATGTGAGCATTCACTTACTTAATTTTTTTTATTTTTTATTTTTTGTGAATTTTTATAAGTATTGTGAGAGGCTCTAATACTTGATAGTATACTCTAATTTCATTGTTTTTTCCCATTTTATTTTTTTTATGGTACTGCTTTTGTTTTTTATGGCACTTTCTTACATGAGTTTTTTCCTTTTTTTTTAATGTATACCTTAAAAAAAAAGTTCTTATGGTTCTAGTCCAAATTCATTCCTTTTTCTTATTTTATTGTTTTTATGAGTTTTTCTAGTGTCATTACTTTTGTTAGGACATTGGTTACAGCTTGTAAATTGATATTGGTATTTGGTATAATTTTCTAGTCCAATTTCCAGTTATTTTTGTTTTTTAGTGCACTTTTCCCTCCTCTTTGAATGCCTTCTATTACTTCATAAACCAATTTATTTCTGCTCTACACTCTGCTCCAATTTTTTTTCCTTGGATTTTTCACGTGAGGTTTTTTTTATGGCTTAAATATCTGCCATTTCATGATCTGACCAGGGCTTTAAGAAAGTTGATCCGGACAAGTGGGAGTTTGCAAATGAAGGGTTTCAAGGAGGGAAAAGGCATTTGCTAAAGAACATCAAGAGAAGAAGCAAATACAACAAGCAGCCACAGGGAACACTAGCCTCTTCTGATTCGGCGAAAGCCGGGTTGGAATCAGAAATCAACACATTGAAGGATGACAAAAACAGCTTAAAATTAGAAATCCTTAAAGTGGGGCAACAACAAAAGGACTCACAAAATCAGCTCACTGCTGTGGAAGAGCGCATTAGATGCGCGGAATGTAGGCAACACCAAATGTTATTGTTCCTCACAAAAACCGTCATAAACCCAACTTTTGCGCAACAACTGATTCAGATGAGAAGGCAAAAGAGAGAGCTTGATGGGGTTGAAATAGCCAAGAGAAGAAGAATTCTCTCCACCCCGGATCCCGAACACGTCGCGATGCAATCTATTCTCACTGAAAACTTGACAGACACCGCTAATACAACTACTACTACTAGTACACAGCCGCCAAAAGAATTAAATTTTCCAGCTACAATGAATGGTGAATCATGTAGCGCTATTCAGGATATTCATGAGGAGGCTAAGGAGATGCGTGGAGCAAGTTTGGGTTCAGATATGTTCTCGGCTTACAATGTCATGTCGGAGAATTTGCTAGATGACATTTCAGTTCTTGAGGAAGAGATGTCTGTAAATGACTCCAAGTTTTACCATGAATTGGAGGATTTGATAGAGAAGCCGCGGGATTGGGGTGGATATATGACTAGTCTGATTGAGCAAACTGGTTGTATTGGGTCCTTGCTTTGAGCTCAAAAGGTATATTTTGTTCATACTTTGTCCTTGAGGCAATTACCATTTTGTGACATGTGAAAATAATGTTTGCAGGTTGGGGAAAAAGATTTGAGCTGAGGAAGAAGTGACAAGGGTATTTTTTGACCAAATCCATTTTGGTTAAAGCAATACTTTGAAAGTGTTTGATATGTTCATCATGAATAGGAAGGACTTTTTATTTTTTTTTTTGGTTGCTTTTAGGATGTGGGTGATTTGCACTTTGCCCATTTAAAATGTCTTGCAAGTTTCCTATCTTGTATACAGGAATTCCCACAGCATGATCATGCATACTAGTTAGCAAGCATCCTAGTTTGTGAATATGTATATACATAGACACACGTACATGTTTAATATCATCGTTCAAGTTTAGTTCTCGTCATGGTTAATGGTGATTTCTGCTTTCTGAGTGAAATCCTATTTGGTTGGTTTAATATATGACGGCTTAATTTTGTGAATTGTTGGTTTTTTTTCCCCTTTCTGTTAATGGGAATTGATTGCAGTTCAAACTTTGTGTTTAACTTATAACGAGCACCATGCATAGTAGATTGCAGGAGAGGGTCCCCTCAGAGTGAACAAGTGAAGCGCGCGCGCGCGCGCGCGCACACGTGTGTGTGTGTGTGTATTTATTTATTTATGCAGTGATATACTAGCTCTTGGAGAACGTTCAGTTGGTTTCGTGTATCAGATGTTTTAAGTGTGGTCTGAAATCCTGAATGCCTTGTCCTTTGACGTGTTTTTCTCTTCGGTTCTGTCCACTTTTGCATTACCTCTTTTGGTAGTCTTTACTTTTGCTCCGGTGGGACAAGTGTTTTTATGATTAGGTTAATTTTTCACCGATAAGATCTATTTTGTGTGGCGCGTGGCGCTGCACAAATCCAACTGTTAAAAAATTAATTTAATGGTTAAAAACACTTGAACCATCGAGTAAAATAATTTGCTTTTACGTACCTCTTTAATTCAGTGTCAAAGGAAAGGAATGTATATTACCTAGGCGAGGAAAAGCCAATTAGGAAGTTGAATTTGGTTACTTCTCGGGGAAGGTACGATGTAGGTACTGCTATTTTGACTATTGAGTTAAGATTTTAATGGTCCATACGATGTAGGTACTGCTATTTTGACTATTGAGTTAAGATTTTAATGGTCCAATTTATAAGTGTGTTATTTCGACTATTAAATTAAGATTTTAATGGTCTAATTTATAAGTATTCATATTAAAAATTTAATACGGTGCGCGGAATTGAACTTTTACAATCACATGTTTGGCCGTTATAAATTTAATCCTAACAACTAAAACAGAACTATCTAGCAGTAGTTAAAAAGGGAGTCCTGTATCAGCAAAACCAACTAATATTCGAAGCCAAGACACATGTTTGTGATGAGACATTAAGCTACAATAGACGAATGTTCAGTAGTTGGGCAATCTGATGTTTAAGATGGTCACTTCAAGCCATACAGAAATCTCTAAAATGTTTGCAAAATGTAGAGGTAAGAAGTTATTATTAACGACTTCCAAAAACTTGTTAAGTTGCATTTCAATAAAAGGAAAAAATGTGATAACTCCAAAGAGATACCTTGTGGAGAATTGATCTTCATTAAGAAAAATAATAGGAACTGAAATCTTTGTCGGGCACTAATCTAGATCATGCTAAACATAATTTACGCAAGGAATAGGCATTCTTAAAACAGACGGGAGTTGATGGAACTGGCCCCACCAAGCTTAACCTATTTTATAGTATCAAATAAATAATACTTACAAAAGGAGATTTTACAGTGGAAACTGTTATTTTACGTTACTGGTATAGTATAATTTATAGAGCTTGTGATTTAATTTATGGATTAGTTTTTTAACCTTTAATTTTAGTAGGCACATTAAAAATTTTGTATCGTGTAACATAGAATAATTTCTTTGACAAATTAAACCGTTGAAAAATAAATCGAACGGCTAAAACAACGTAAAATTACAATTCATACTGTAAAAGTTTCGATTGGAAGTAAAAAGGGAGCAGTTTAAAAGCTTGTATAAGGAGTTTAAAACCTTTGTATTGTTTCGAATTGCCCCAAACAGAATCACAGCAAATATTGATTTCTGACTAGTTAAAATTTGTCATTAAGTTGAGAGAGAGTTGATCACAAACACATAAGTGAGTACTCATTATGATCTATTCTTATGTGAATAACAAACCATCAACATTAAAAGGTTAAAGCTTTCTAGACGATTACCTAATTCATTGTAACCTTCACATCTATATCTTACAGATAAAATAATAATACTATATAAGTGAGTAAATATTAGAGTAACCAATAAAACCACATCTATATATACATATATATAGATAATTTTAAGAACAAATAATTAGATTTTTTTTTTCCACATTAGAGCGCACCTTTTAGGGACTTCTAGACTCTAGTAAATAAATAGTTGATTTACTTCAAAATAGTTGAAAACATGCTATTTACTTTAAACAATTTTCAAATAACAATATGCAAAATTGAAATGTTTTCGTGGGGAGAATCTATTCTTCTTTCTTTCTTTCATTGGCCTGTCTTTTTTGATATGACCTCCTCATTGACAGGATCAATCTTTGATCACTGAATCAGATGAAAATTATATTAGATTAAAAAAATACGTTTATGCCAAAATCAACACAATTATTGAAGAAAACAAATAGAAGTGGTATAATTTTTCAATAGTTATTTTGTTCAGTGTCTATAAAAGAAATATCATTTTCAGTAATTCATTTTTACATTGTCTATAAGAGAGATCTCCCAAGATTAACGTGTCGCTTTTTGTCCTTGTGACTAGAGAATTAGATATTCTCCTTTCTTTTTCAAGTATGGGAAAATTAAGACTCCATTCATTTTATCGATTCGAGTTTTGTTACGGTAAAAAATTCTCAAAAACAGTTACTTCTAACTTTTTTACTGTAATAAAAAGCTCTTACATAAAGTCATATCTCAACTCAAATTAAAAACTCGAATCAGCAAATTAAATGGACGTTCAATTTAGTTAGTTCTCCACTAGAAAGTTCAAGCACAACCCACCAACGTTGAAAGGCAAGCCACGTGTGTAATGAGACGTTAAAGCTATCGTAGATACAGTAGTAGTTGGGGAGTCTACCGTGTAAGATCGTACCATTAAGCCAAATAGAAACCTTTCAAAATGTTGCATAATGTAGAGATATGACAATAAGTTATCACTAACGACTCTGGAACTTACAAAGTTGCAATTCAATGCAAGGTAGAAGCTATGGTGAGGTTTTGAAGAATTATGAACTTCAATAAATAATAATAATAATAATAATAATAATAATAATAAAAGTAACTCAAACTCTAATCAGGGGGAAATCTAGATCCTACTAACACAATTTAAGCAAGAATACGCATTCTTAAAACAGATAAGAATTAAGAATAATGGAACTGGCCCCACCCAATGCTTAATCTATGTATATAGTCATAAAAAACTGCCTTTTAGTGATTGGTCCAAAAAAAAAACCTGCCTTTTAGTCAAAAAGCAGGATGGTGAATTCAGCCAAACAATAAATAAATAAATAAAGCAGCATGGTGAAAATCTGACGCGTACCATATCTCTGTTTTTTCGAGTAGCTAATAAGATCAGTTAATTAGCGCATCACCGTTTTCAATACTGATGTTTTAATGCTATTGTAAATTCTATTCAATATTTACTCAAAACACGGATAGAAATGAAACAAAAGGACTAAAAATTCAAGCACTGACATCATCATTATGAAACAAGAAGCTCGCCTCCATTCTATTAACACTTCGAACTATGATACAAAAAGGGGAGGAGCCAAAAAAAAAAAAAAAAAAAAAGGAAAAAAAAAAACAAAAAAAAAAAAACAAAAATAAAAGACCAAAAAAAAAAAAAAAAAAAGGAAGAAGAAAAACGAACAAAGAAAAACTAGAATGAAAGAGCTAAACCAAGAAGAAAAAATTGAGTATGGTAAGACAACAAATCGCTGCACCTTATAATTTGCCAAAGTCCTTATTTGTTGATGCTGAGCTTACCACCTGGCCTTACAATTGAAGTGGAAGATGAAGAAGATGATATTGCAGACCAATCGATTTCTTCTTTATCTTCGTTGAATGCTTTACTGAGCACTTCTTGCAGTTCCAAATACCTCCTTTTCTTTACCAGACGTTCTGTAGGAGTGTCATGTCCCAGGTATGCTAGCAGTGACAAGTCATCAGCATCCATGATCTTATTTAGTACTTCTGAGCAACGAGGGAAGAAGCGTTTCCCAAGTTCCACTGCCCACAGAAAAGAAGACAATCAGGTAAAAGATATGGATAATAATAGTTTTTGGTTTTTAGACTTTAGTAATTAGATGGAAATTTCTAGCTCCACCATTGAGTAGGAATCCTAAAATTGCCTTCTAAGTTGATCAACTATTCGCAGAAGAACAACCTACTAATTTAAGATAGTTGGATTTTGTTTTCTCTATTGGCTCCAAATCATTCAAGCTTAAGCAACGAATGAAGTGAGACAAGTATTATCATATGAGAATTCCTAGTCTCAAAAGGGTTCTCAGCTGTTACAGCTGTTAAGTATGTTGAGCCGGGATTCTTTAGGTAGGTGTTAATTGAAAACAGATATTTAGTAATGTAAATTGAAGGATAATAAAACTGAGCTATTGCTAACTTGGTGCATGTAGAAATCATTACCAGTTCTAGAAAGTGCTTTCAGTCTGATCAGATGCTCCTCCTGAATCTTGAAAGGAGCTTCATTTAAGTCTACTGTTTTTCTCTTAGCACCATTTAAATTCTTCGAACTTAGCCCGTCTAAGAACTCAGAAGTGTCATCAATTTGAGAAATATCCATTACGACCTTGGCTTCCATGGGAAATAGAAGTTTCGCCAGTCCAACTGAAAAGAGATAAGGAATCAACTGCTTAATTATCCAAAATTTGATTAAATTTATATAAACTATCCCTACAAGCTTCGAGTTCCATATGCATTATTCGCAGAATGATTGATTACTAACTCAGTCCAAAGGAAAGGAGAATGAGTACAAAGAAAAATCTCATTTCAAGAGGAAAGAGAGAACCTCCATATTAGGGGGTGAAAATTTACTGATGAGAAGAAATTACAGAAGCAAGTTTATTGTTCCTCGGAGAACCTCCGTATTAGAAGGTGGAGTCTGCTAAGAAGAAAAAGACGCACCTAGCCAGAAAGATGCAATGAACAAACTACCCAAAGAAATGCCAAATCATTTGAGAAAAGACCCTGAAGCTAAAAGTTCACTAAAATACTCTTCACAAGTTGCAATTTGTATGATAGGGAAAGGGATATAATAGATCATTAGCAAATTACCTCTATTCTCAAGGTACAACAATTTCATCCGCAGATCATCACCTGCCATGGCAAGAGACATTGAAGCTTCTCCCAACAATGGATCCCTTCTTTCAGCTTGCTCCAATATCTCTATGCATAACCGATCATTGGGAGAAGCTTTGCCTTCCTCGGAGAACTTAAAGTAATCTTCAGCCCTCGTTAGCCGTTTTGTTATCTGAAGTGCTTTTCTACCGTCCAAGGTAAGATCTGATGGTCGTGCTCCTTTTATCAAAAGAGATACTATAATCTTAGGCTCTCTCCGCATTGCAGCAACATGCAGAACAGTGTATCCCCTAGCATTCCTGCAATTAACATCAGCGAGTCCAAGATCAAGCAGCTCTGTCGTAGTCTTTGCATCGCAGTATGCCACAGCATAGTGGAGCGCATGAGCATCATCAAGATTTGTATGTCCTTCTTTTAATAGCATCCTCACTAATTCAACATCATCTGAATCTAGAGCCCTATGGATTCTCTTCACATGTTTGTCGGGAAAGATGTGACCTTCGGAATTTTCAAAGCCAAGCTCCAACCGCGAATCCATTATCTGTTTAACAGTGTGTTGGGGCAAGGCCTTATCAAGAGTAACAACATCAACATCAGATTTAACAATAATCTCAATGCACCTCTCTAGCAGCCTGTCACAGGCTTTACCGCACACATTTGCAACAGATAGAACCACCAAGACGTCATCGATTGCAATCTTGTCAAGAATATCTAAAAGATGCATCTGAAATCAAAGCAAATAACAAACATAACTCGGTGCACATGCGCGTATAATTTTTTGTATGAAGAAGAAAAAGAAGCTTAGAGGAAGTATTCGCCACAAGAAGTTGCTTAGTATCAGCATAACAGTATATGAAGATGTAATTCTCCTATACAAATGAAAACTTTACAATTCAACACCAAGTATAGTAAGTGCAACAATGCCCACAAAAAGTATTCAACCAGATTGGGCAACAGAGTCCAAGTATTTTGTGTAAAACCCGACACAACACAAAACATATCCAGAGGGCTCAAGGAAACTGAAAGGGCAAGTAGTCACAATAAACAGTATCAAAGACGCACAACAATATGTCTCGTCCAAATTGTCTTTCATATCCTATAAAATTTGGAGGTATGAGCAGCACCGTTGCAGTATAAGCTGTCCTTTGAACTAAAGAAAAAATGTAGTGAATGCTCGTTTTGGACACTTGTTTCTGACAATGTCAGTGAATGGATAATTTGCCTAATTTCGTTAAGAGTTTTGTATAGAGTAAATTAGTGATTTACCATTGTGAATTAGTAATTCAGTGGAAATTCCATAACAATAAAAAGAAAACAACTTGAGCTTTTTTTTTTTCTTGGAAAAGGGGTGCAAAATTATTGATATGCAGCAATGCCACAAAAAACAATTCAACCGATCATGAAATCTCTTCATCAAAAAATAATAATAATAATCAATGCAAATGAAAGTTTCCATTTTCCAATCCAAACAGCTGAAGAAAACTGAAAACGGAGGTGTCAAAAACTTACAAGCCTATACCTGGTAAAGCGCCACCAACTCGGAGACCTGAAACGTGAAAGAAGCATAGAGCACCTCAACCATGAAATCCACCGTCGGCCGACAAGCCGCGTGCGAGCAATCCTCGTCCACGCATAGGCAAACCCCCTTCGCTAACGCCCCAACCTTTCCGCTATACAAATAACCCAAAACCGCCACCAATGGATCGAACCCAACCTCGTAACCCTTTGCCAACTCGTTCAATTCGAATCTCGAACCCTTCTCCCGCGATCCGCAGAACATGTTCCGGAAGAATCCGCTTCTTGCCGCCAGAATGCACCGGTGGACGGGGACCTCCCGGCCGCCGCTCACGACAAGCCTCGCGTCGGCTAAGAAGTCGAACTCCGGGGAATTGAAGGCCGACCGGAGATTCTCCGAGAGCCGGTTTAGGGCCGAGACATCCGACGGCGGTGAATTCTCCGACGACGAGGGCAGTTGTTGGCCCACGCAGCATATGCTGCTGTTGCTGTTGCTCAGGATCTCGTTGGAATCAGAAAAGCCGGTTTTGGAATCCATGGGAGGAGCTTTCTTCCTTTGACCTGGCTAATGCGCGGTGATCGCCATTATATATACGCGCGAGCTTCCATGGCCGGCTTGGATTCGGAGGTCAGAGGAGAGAGGGTGAGCTTAGATTAGCAGAGAACATGGCTGACGACGAGTGACCGGGAGTGAGAACAAAAAAATCTCAAAGGTGTAAAAGAAAAAATGACATTTTAAAATCAGGAAAATTAATTTAGTTTGGTTTATTATTTTAATATTTTTTGTTTTTGTTTTTTTTTAATTTGTTTCCCGCGGATTTTAGTCCGTGGATCAGGACCCATCGTTAAAAACTTAACAGCCGCAGCTTTGATCTTTTGTTGGGAATATGAGGGAATTCGACGGAATCTAATCTTGTTCTGATTCTCATTCAACGAGGACCGTCCATTGAGGAACGATCTGACTGCCCATTATTATCAACAGCGTAGTTACAGTGGTGCTCACTGTAGGCTATTGATGAATGTGGCATTTTTTTTTTAAGGAAAACTGTTGCATTAATCAATCAAAATCATATCAGTACTTACAAAACTAACAATACAATTAGAATATCCCTCTAATCAATAGCTCAAAAAAAAAAAAAAAACTTGATTAATGTATGGACAACTCCATTACAATAACGATAAATGTGACTACATAAATCATCATTAACTTTGTCCATCAAGATGTCGTTTAAAATAAAAAATTCTGCAACATAGTAACAATAATCATTTACAACTCTTGTCTCTCTCTTTTATAGTGCAAATTTAAAAGGAAAATTGAACTTCAATCTACTTGAAGAATGAGCTTGATCCCGCCCCACATGGCACATATTACAAATACAATACCACAATCTATTAATCGAATAGAAGTCTTAAAATAAAATTATGAAAAATCGAACACCGAAACCATTCAAATGAGAAAAGAAAAAGAGGCATGTCCTACTCCTAATCGTTGCACCACCCAATTGATGGTAACACGGCATTTGTTTTGCGTGGATGAGCTGAATTCCGGTTCAAGCCGTTAAAGGTGGTTTGGACTTAAAAACAAAATTTTATTTATTTTTCAGTTTGTATCATGTTTAAATTTTATGATTCGTTTGGTATGAGAATTTAATCAGAGTGATTCTAATCATGATTCTGAAACTAAAATCATGATTCATGATTTTAGGTTCAAATTATAATTCTGAAACTATGATTCAGAATCAGGGGTTTGAATCACCTTAAATCAAGAGGGGGTGGTGATTTTAGAATTATGAGTGATTCTGATTTAACACATCACATCAGATTCTGAATCATGGTTCAGAATCATCCAAACTAAATACTAATTCAGAATCACCGTAAACAAACACTGATTCTAAATTAAGATCTAAAATCATAATTCTAGATTCATTTACCACACGCTTCCCTAATGATCTACGGTGTTTGTGTTTCATATGCTTTATGGGTATTTATTGTGGATTGTTTTTTAGCCTTTGGCTTTGTAACGTCATCACCACCGTTTTTCACTCTGCTTCTAGCTAATACTAATAGATTTTTTGTTGCCCACTTGCGTCCGCTTTGTCCCAATCCATACTTTAAAGCTTAGGGATAGAATAAAGTTCTCATTCAAACCCTTCTTCTTCTTGTCTTGTTCTTTAATGGAACATGAAAACATAAAAATGAGCACTTTTGTTCATTCTATAAATAAGTACAATATATAGATCCTTTTTGGGTTCCCTTATAAAGGGTGGCTTTCAAGTATACAAAACAATACAATCATCTCTAGCTTCTCAAAGGGCATGTACATGATCAACTCCAATGTCCACATTTCCTCTAGCTAAACCTTAAGTAACATTTTTCTTCACACAAATCTTACAAACAAAAACTCAGAACTTTTAAGCCTTAATGGATTTCAGAGCTAAACACTTTAAGCAATGAAAAGCAAATATCAAGTCATATCAATTTTATATCACCATTCTTGTGACTTAGGGGAGCACGATCTTTACAAACCCTTTACCAATATATATTGAACCCCAAATTCACCCATCCATTCTTGGTGAGGGAAGAAAAATATATAAATATAATAATTTTTTTTAATGCTCTTTCTTAGGATGAATCCCCTGAAAAACAGCCTCAATTTCTTCTTTTGCTCTTTCAAAAACACTTGGACCCTTAACCTCATCGATTGGAGTACTCTCGTCAATGTCATCGCTCATGCCATGTGTTTCTTTGTGATGATGGTGTGGAGACTTCTCATGGTGCATGATTTTTTCAATGGTTTCCTTAGCTTTCTCAATAAAATTAGGTTTCCTGACATCACAATCTGAAAAAATGGAACATGATGTGGAAACTTGAGAAACACAAGCTAAAGATAAAATAAACGAAACAAAAGCTTATTAGTTATGGTCCTAATGGAGGTCATGAAACTGGTTAAAGTCTAACAACAAGCAGTAACACAAAGAAAGACTCCTCAAAGGCAGTTTGCACAAGTGTGTGTTAAAATCTTTTCGAGACCAACAAATATAAATCTGAACATGGCAAAGTTCAGTTAAAAAACCATTACCCATCTCAACATGAAGTCACTATTCTTCAAAACATGAATGATAACAGCTGAGAAGAAACAGTAAGATGTATATAGACAAGCAAAACAGCCATAAACACAATCCACACAACAATATAAGTTCGATTCCGTCCTATTTCCGAACAAAAGATGAACCCCACTATCCAATTCTCTCAAAATTCCCAATCTACAAGACATCACAATAGTGTGAAATAGAAATACACATAAAAGTTATACCTGGCCCAGAATTCGGGTTCTCCTGATTGCGCTCTTCCTTTCTGCCTTTCTCTCTGCTATACCACAAAACAACAAGAGTTTTAAATGCAAGAACAAGAAAATGTATAGTTTGGCACTAAGTCTGTTATATCAAACAGTGAACAAGTGTTTACACTTTATATATCCAAGAACAAAAATCGTATCTGTCTAATTTATCAAACTTTAACGCATCATCATAATTGGTTGCAAACATAGCCCGGTAGTATATATATACACACACACACACCTGACTCCTTCACAAAATGTAGAGTTCAAATCCCAACTCCAAATTCAAAAATAAAATAAAATAAAACTACATAAGAAAAGAAAATAACTGCATTAACAGGAAATATGGACAGAAAAAATTGGATTTTATTTTGAAACCTTGTTCCATGAGTTGGAGACTCGTTCTTGGAATGAATTGTTTGGATGAGAGCCTCAACCTCCTCTTTCGCTCGCTCAAACAGATTTGGGGCTTTGACATCATCCAATGCCGTTTCCTCGTCAATATCTTCACGCATTCCCTGGGTTTCCTTGTGATCACGTGCTGCCGATTTTTCGTCGCGCATTGTTGCTTGGATTTCTTCCTTTCCTAGTTTCCTCTCTCAAACAAACTTATGATTTAATGTTTTTGCTTCTCTATTATCTGTTAATTTCATAATCGAATAGTTAATGGAGAAATCCCAATCTTTCGGATTCAAAATCTAATCGGATTCAAAATTTTCATTTCCAAATACGAAAGAATCGAAAGATCATGAATCACAAATTGCATTCCGTAAACTAGATCATGAGAGTGATTGGGGAAGAGAAATCGTTACCTGATGTCGAGAATCTCGTTGTATGATTGATCAGATCAGATTTGAGTTTGGGAGCGCAGAGAATTGAGAAAGAAGGATTAAGGAAGGCATCGGAATTTCCTGTGGGAAAAAAAAAACGAATATTCCAGATTGGATTAAAGCAGCGATTGGGTTCCACTGCCACGTAGGAAGCGCTTGGCGGCGGGGAATCGGATCCGCTTCAGTGAGAACGTGGCACAAAAGTTGATTTGGAAGTATTCTGTCGGAGTGTATCGAGACACTATTTTGTAGGAGGTCGTAGCCCGTAGGATTTTAGAACGACATGTCGTTTGTCGTGCCAGGTGCTTGTCGCCCAAATCTAAATGACATGTTAAAATTGTTTCTCGCGGGAAAAATGACGGGTGCGTTGGAAATTAGTTTTAAAATAATTTTATCTTTAATAAAAAATAAAAGTAGATTATTTAAAGAATTATTTTTAAAATGTTTTTAAAATTATATTTAGTTAGTTTTTTAAAAGATTATTTTGAATATAATAAAATAATGAAATCGTGTTTGATTATACTTATTAATTAATAAATTATAATATTAGTGATAAGTATTAGAAAATAAAAATAAAAAAGTGAAAATAATTTTTAACTGTTTTTTAAATTTATTTACAAAAATTATTCTCACTATTTTCGTTTTCAAAATATTTCTTAAACAAACGTCATTTTGTTTTTAATTTCATTTTTTTCTCTTTGAAAAATGTGAAAAACGTTTTGGAAACAAAACTAAACACACCTGATAGGTCTTCCTGAAAAATAAATAAATAAATAAATAATAAATCTACTAGTTACTGAGAGCATTTTTCATGCAGTGCTAAAGTGGTGTTAATATTAGGACATTTTTTTTTTCCTTTTCAAATAAAATGTTGTTTTTATGTTAAAAATAAGAAAAAAAAAAAAAAAAAAAAAAAAAAATTTTAAAAAAAAAAAAAAAAAAAAAAAAAAAAAAAAAAACTTGTACAACAACAAAACAACGACAACTCTAACGTGGCAAATGTTTTTGGCTGATTTGGTATGATAAGGTCTTTTTGGCGCTCCACCCGGTAGAGCCGTAGAGATTGAAGCAATTGTGTCGGTATAATGCTGAAGTCACTAGTTATTGTGAGCGAAATTCTATAGATGACTGGGCAATATTGTAAATATTGTTTGATTGCCATGATACATTGGTAAGTTTAATTGAATTATCTTTTAGCGTTAATGTGCTGGTTCTGTTTGGTTAAACGGCGATGTAACATGACATGATGACTACATAACATTTTGTGCTGATTAATATAACATAAACAAGAAGATAACGTGCTAATAATACTGGTGATCATAATAGTAACTATTGTGATATATTGTTGGTTTTGACGGCTGGAATTCGCCAAACAAAAGTCTCTCACAATCACCAACTATGAATCAACTAGATGTGAAAATTTGTACACTCCACACTGGCGCGGCCTGGCCCGCTTAAATGTTCAGATTTGGCTGGGATTTTGAGCTTAAAACCTTATTCAAACCTAGTCCTTAACATCTTTTTTTTAGGGGATAAAAAGAAAAATAACATAATTAGTAAAGTGATTACTAAATCATAGCATATTTTTTAAACACAATAAATTATAGCATAATTTGTTTTTTTAAGTTTTAAACAATATTAAAAATCTAAAAATACCCCTAAACCTCCTTTTCCACCTCACTCCTCTCCCTAAACATTTGTTTTAAAAAAATAGTAAATTATAGCATATTTTTTTAAAATAGCTAGATTATAGTCAAGTCCACCATGGCTGGGACCGGCAGCCCACTCCGACGACCGGAGACCATTTTCCAGCAACCTGTGACCATTTTTTAGCGACCTGTGACTGTTTTCTACTGACCGTTTAACACTATATTTACTAGTGAATATTGTATTTATCATTTAATACCGTATTTACTAGTAAATATCATATTAACTTGAAAATTCAGCCACCGATTTTGGTGACTGTTTAACATTGTATTTACTAATAAATATCGTATTTACTAATAAATATCATATTTATTCAAAAATTCAGACACTCATTCCGACAACCGTTTAACTATTTATTTAAAAATTTGACCACCAACTCCGGCGACCGTTTAACACTGTATTTATTGGTAGAGATTGTGAATGGAGGGGATCGGTTATCCCAATGCCGCCACCGCGAATATACAGCAGCGGCATCGTGGCCTGCGGAGGTTTCGTCTATTGGATGGCGGTTAATTGGTGGAAATGGTGGGGCATTGTCGCGTTCGATCCATTCGGAGATCACGCGAAGCATTGCCGTGTTATCGATCCGCCGGCGAACTTGGGCATGTTGTTGCAGTCTAGTAGCAGGACAAACTTGTGCCTTGGAGCTTGCCGGGGGCGGCTACGGTTGTCGCGGGCGTTTAAGTACAGGGAGGGCTGGTTCGCGATAAAGGTTTGGGAACTTAGCGAGGATAAAAAGTCATGGTGTTTGGTGCACACAAGGCCAGCTTGAAAGGAGTGATGCAGATGAAGGTGCTGGGATTCCTCCAAAACGACGGCGACGTCGTCTTCTTGATCATCTGCGAAAACCACGTCGTTCGCGGCTACAATCTTCTACAACACACGCAGGATGACATCGGCAAGTTCGAACATGATGTAGGTGACATAATCGATCACCAGTTGGACGCCTTTTAATTTGTGTATCCACCATGGCCGACCGCACTTCCTACAAAATTTCCTGATCATGTGCGAAAATTAATTTATGATCTATTGAATATGTATGTCTGACGACAATTAAGCTGATCCGACATTAATTAGATGTGAATTACATATGATAATGTCTATATTTTTTTTTCACAATTACATTTTGCTAAACATTAGAAAGTTGATTTCAAGATCAAAATGCAAGGCGCAAGAAATCTTTGCTAGTAGTGTACGACATATTTTGGTGCGAGAATTCTATCTCCAATTCTGTAAAGTATATATAGAGCTTAAATCCTTTTAGCTTCATGTTCAATTTAAATAAATATTTTGAAATTTCTCTAATATACAACAAGTTTACTAGTTTCGCGCTCAGTGACCAGGTTCACGAGGTTCATGGCTATGATCTGGTCGCCTAAGGTTAATGGTTTGTGACGTTAACTAAAAGTCTCAAGGATTTCTAATACAATGCTATTTTTATACTAAATTTAGAATATGTTTTACTTAATTTAAGTACCAAATGTTATTGGTTATTATCTTGATTTTTTTTTCATTTAGTTATTATAAGTTAAAGATATATATTTCAAGAAAAAAAAAATGATACAACAACGAAACAACAAACATATACAAGAACAAAAAAAAGACTATATATATATATATATCCAACTCTAGCATTCAACTTTTTTCCACTGTTCTTTTAATTTTCTTGTTTTTAAGAAAAATAAGAGGGCGGAAGTTTAGGTCAAAGCAAGTTTTCTATTAGAGAAAAGGGTACTGTCGAATGTGCCATTTGCATAAAAATCTAGATATAATTTGAATATAATTTTTTCGTGAATATCATTTGAATCGATTATGAGTTGGTATTTCTAATTTGTTGCCTATTGAATGTTCCTCCTTGTTTCAAATCTTTTGTTCAAGGCGACTAATTCATGGAAACTTGTCAACAAAATTATCTTTTATTTCAACATTTCCTCCTAATCTGTTTTTTTTTTTTCCCCTTATTTAGTTGACATATTAGCCTGCTACTATTATATATTTTAAATTTTTAAAAAATTGTGATAAATATGACTTTAATAGTAATACTTTGTAGTTTGGCAAAATTTATCATATTTGCCCATATTTAATTTGAGATTTACTTGTAAGAGAACAAAAGATGGTACACACCCATTTTATATTTGATTTGACGCACCCTTTTAGACTACAATTTCTTATTAAAAAAGATCCTCATATAAAATGGATAAAAAGGACAATTATTATAAAATTATTTACATAATTAAGTTTTAACATAAAAACACACAATGATACTTTTTTTTTTCACTTCACACGCGTGGTTTTACTCGCACACTCCACTTGATTTTTGATACCTTTTTAGTTGTTTTTTTTTTTAAATAACCTTTTCTATACCTTTTTTACTTTTTTTTTAAAGTACCTTTTTTCAGTTGTTTTACAGTTTGTTTGCTTGTTTGTTCTTGTTTTTGCAAAATTTAATAGATTAGGCGACTTTTAAAAGGCTTAAATATATGTACTGGACGATGTCTCTACTGATCAAAGTAAACAAAAACATGAAAAAGATGGGCGTGAAAAGATATTGGAAGGTGAAAACTAATCTTATGAAAATAGTTAGGGGTAGTTTTAAGATAAGGAATGTAATAATTAAAGGATGCGTCTATTAATACTCATTTTTTTTACTTTTTATATACTTTTTTAATATTATTAAATTACCCATTAATAAAATTACTTTTAAAGACAATAATATTTTTTAAATACTCATTACACACCTGATTAACGCCCCATCATTAAAAAAAATATTATCTTCTAGAAATATTTATTTATTTTGAGTTCTTAATATTTTGAATAAAGATGTTTGACGATAATATTTCTTATGATATTATGCAAGCAACGATATCCAACAAACAAATTTATTTATGACAAACTTGCCAGCTAGAGAGTATTAAAAACGAAAAACTAAAAAGATTACAGAGTCTTATTAATATAGTTCTCAAGGATTTTTTTTTTTGTTTCATAAAACAACAAGAATTTGTTGATGCAACAATTGGAATATTACTGATAGAATGATCATATATGATTGTCGAATAATATAGTCACATGATTGTAAAAAACTTATATAATTTTATAATTTGTTACGTAATAGTGTTGATAATATTTCCGGAACTAATGATAGGTTTTTATAGTCTTTTACGGAGTTAAGCTAAACACATATCGATTTTAAGGAATTCTTGCATACAGAATAGGAATTTCTTCATTTATTGTATAATTTGAAGTACTATTTAATTTGTTACTTTATTTAGTTGTAGAGATTTTTTTTGAAATTTTAAGAGTGGTGTAACAAGTAAAATAAAGGTGCTTTAAGAAGGTGTGTGTAAAAAATATGATTGATTTACTTGTAGGGA